GGGTGCTCCGTGGGCCAAGGGTGAGCCATGGCTTGGCAGCCTCTTCCCAGCCGTGGTCTAGAAAGACCTTGTCTGGAAGAGTGAGCAGCTCCCTCCATGGTCCTGGACCCACACGATCCCGACTACAGTGCCTGTACCCAGGGGGAAGAGCTGGAGATTGGTCCTCTCCTGCCAGGAAAATCCCCAAAATCTGTTTGGCAAAGCCAAGGAAATGAACGGAAACACATCATTCTTCCTGGTACCTGTGATGTTTCTGATCCTCCCAGAACACTCTGCAAATAGGAGGTAATTAGTGTTCCCAAACCCAGCTGAATTGCTGGAGTGTCAGTGCCTTATCCCTGTTTCCAGCAGGGAATGTGGAGGCGCAGAGGTTGCACTCAGGATTTCGCTCTTGGCTTTGAGCATGGCCCTGCTTCCCTCCCCATTTCTGCAAGGTGCAAACTGGGACCAGCCCTGATTTCAGGGATTTTGGCATGATGGGGACAACAGGAGCTGCCCTGCAGACTCTCTACTCTCTTCCCAGAATGGATTTTGTCCAAATGCTGGGGAAGTGCTGCTGCTTGTCATTGCTCAAAACATACAACATTCTGCTAGAGAATCAGGAATGATACTTTGGAGGCCAGTGACTTCCCATTTTCTGCTTTCAGCCTGGGTGCCTCCAGCCAAGGATGAGACTCTGCACAGTCCTCAAGGCAATGGAAATTCCTGCAGGAGTTTTAAAAGGTGTCTGGAAACAAGCCAGCCTTGTTTCAAGGCGAGGGAGCCAAAAAAAACCCCCAAACTCAGGCTTAGGAATACAAGTGAACGTGGCCAACAGCATTGTCCATTTTCTTCTCTCCATGTTTCCATCCCATCCCCACTTTCCCTGTCTTTCCCATGAGCCCGTTCCCTTTCTTGTGCTTCATCTGTTATTTCTGAAAAAGGAATATTCTCTCCAATCCATCTTTTGGGATGACTCCAGTTATTTCCTCCTAGCCTCGGGTTGTGCCCTCTCCTTAGCTCTGTTTGGCATGGATGTGGCCACTTCCTCAGCCTTCTTGGCATCACCTTTATCTTGGCCAAATCCCACTGGAGCGATGACACCAGGGTGATTTGGGATCTTCCCTGGGATGGGAAGATTGGTGAGCAAGATCTCAACCTGCTTATTCTCTCGTGCTCTGATTTTGCTGCAAAAAATCCCATTCCCAGGGCAGGATCTGATCCTCTTCTGAGCAGGATAGTGGGGGTGGCTGCCCAGTGCTCTCCTGTCTGCTCCTGCCCATGACTTAAACCCACAGATGCTGCCCTGGCCACCTAATGGATGCTGCAATTTCCCAGTGCAATCACTCCATTAATCTCATGCAATTAATGCTTCGGGAAGTGTTTTGCAAACATTGATAGTGAGGAAAGAGCTACAATGCAGACATGGCAGCTGCTTGTGTTGCAGTGCTGTAGTAAGTCATGAATTATTGAGCTCAGGAGGATTTTGTGGCTGCCCCATCGCTGGAAGTGTCCAAGGCCAGGTTGGACAGGGCTTAGAGCAACCTGGGACAGTGGAAGGTGTCCCTGCCCATGGCAGGGGTTGGAAAGAGATGAGCTTTAGGGTCCTTTCCAATTCAAATAGTTCCATGATTCTGTGATGATTTCCTTTCCTTTTTCAAGACTTTCTTGGCTGCTCTTTGTCCTTTTTCCTCAGTGCAGAAGGGCCACACGGAAGTGGGATGGGTATTTGTGGTATCTTGGAGGGATCCATAAGAGTGACCTGCGTGGCTGAGGGAAGAGGTTGGGACCTTTTCCTCCCCAGCAATTCTCCATCATGGTGGCTTTTCCTCTTTCCTGGCTTGGCCAATACAATCAGCTTGTGGCCAGGATTGCCTTGGCTTTCTCCCTGCTTCTCATCCCAATTGAGGCATGTTCCCTGACTCATTCCACCACTCCCAGCCCCATCCTGTGGCTCCCACTGTGACGGCTTCCCACTGCACGCTCCCTTTTCAACTCCAGAGCTCTGAAACTTGGGATAGCTACAACCAGTCCATCCTGGCACGTGAAGTGGAAAATCATAAAATCCTGTTTCCTCTGAAGGGAGAAAGAGTCTCCCGGCTCCTTGTGAGATTAAGCCTTGTGCAGTATCTGCAAATGTTGAGAGCAGAGGTTAAGCTGAGCAGGGCAAGGGGAGGAGGTGGCTGGCAGTGCTTAGCAATGCAGATCAGATGGCTCTGAAACCTCCCGGCATCCACGGCCAAATCCTGGGATATTTAGGGGTTTAAAACAGAATGAAGTCAGAGGAAGGAAGTAGTGCTGTTGGGTAAGGAAGGATGGATTAATTCAGCTCCCTGAAGGAAACTCTTTGATCTGCTGGTGGCCATGGAGGTGCCCAGATGTCTTGGTGGCGCTCCGAGGCAATCCCTGGAGATATTCCGTGTGCTGCCTCCAACAGGGAAGCAACAAGGAGAGCAATGACATCCATAAAAACAGAGTTAGATTTGGGATTTTGCTCTCTGCTGGGAGTTGCTCCGTGGTGCTGAGAGGGGAGAATCAGGATGGACTGGCTGGATGGGATGGCTTCTTGCATCCTCTGCTTGGAAAAATCAGCCTTGTCGAGGAGATGCAGAGGCTGCTCCTGGCAGCCATGCAATTCCAACAGTATGTCTTAAGGCCATGCAGGGATGAGCTTCCTGGGCTCCTCAGCCTGACTGGGGACACGCACAGGCTGCAGCTGGAACCTGCTGGGACCAATTTGTGCCTCTGCTCCGGCCGGACCGCGCTGTCACGCTCCATCCTGGAGCGCTTTGTTCTGCTCTTTGCCTGTCCCTCAGCTTTCCAGCACAGGGATCTGTGCTTGCTGTTCAGCTTAATCCAGGGAGTTTTTTTCAGCTGCAGATTTGCCAGGAGATGAGGAGGTCAAGGAACGTGCCTGGAGCCAGGGGTCAAGTCAGGGGATTCAGCCAAGAGAAAGGGAAGACTTGGGCAGGGCAGGCTGTGATGAATCTCATGCAGGACCTTTTCTCCCTATCTCCTGTCCCATACTGGCATTTTTCCTTGGAACCCATTGAATCCATCTCTAGGGGAAACAGGAGGCTGAGCACAGTGTGAGGACATCCCAAGCCATCTTGGAAACTCCTTTGCAGGGTGCTCGGAGTGTTGAGGGGAATTTCTCTCACCCAGTTGCTGCCCATCACCCCAGCAGGTTGTCCTGCCAAGACACTCTAGGATGGAGCCAGAAAGGGCAGCGAGATGGTGCCAGGCCCTCAGGGAATGCATGGACAGCTTGGTGGGCTCTCTCCTGCCACAGCCACCATTCCAGGCTGCCACTGGGCTTGGGGAGAGCCATGGGGGCATGGCACCAGCTGTTCCCTGTTTTTGTGGATGCCAAGGTGGACTGCAGCGGGACAAGCCAGGCTCACTGCTCCAACCCAGTGACAGGACATATTTGGTGTCTCCTCTGAGCCCTTTTCCAGCCATCTTGCTGGTTGTCCCCCATCCTTCTTCCTGCCACCACCTCACCCTGCCCTGCCAGTGCCTGCCCTAATCCCGGTGCTCTGCTCCCTGCCCAGTGCTAATCCTATAAACCCTTAGTAAATCCTGCCCACCTGACCCTGCCTCTTCCACATCCCTTCTCCAAGGCAGTCTTTGTGGGATCCCTTAGTTTGGGACTGGCGTTTTTTTGGGGTGTACAAAGCTGTCACCCAGATAATGTAGCACCTTGGGGTGTTCCATTGGAGCACCAGGAAGGATGCCCAAGTCCTGCAGGATTTGTGCAAAGCACTGGTGGATAAAAGACAGCTGATGCACCCCAAAATGTGGCCTGGTGCTGGTTTCACACTCAGGAAGCAGTTCCTGTGCTCAGCATGAGCCGCTCCAGCCCAGACCCATCTCCAGAGCTACTACTGAGCCCCAGAACCGGGTGTGGAAATTCCTAACGGAGTCCTGGGGGTAGGATTGGCTGGATTCATGCAGAGTTCACTATTTCAGCAGGTCTATTTTAAGACTCCCTTGGCGTGTGGGAGCGTGGCTGGCACAAAGGGAGGTCCCAGTGCTCCGAGGTGCTGCCTGTGCCCATCCCGGCTCTTTGCAGCCGGGGGCTGGGACCAACCACAGTTTCCCAGCATCACCAGTGCCTGGCCAGGAGCCATCCTTGGGCTCATCAGTCTGCCCCACAAGGGCTTAGGTGAGCAGTGAATCACTGTGTCTTGAGCTGGTCCAGAAAAAATTAAGCCGACCTAAGAATAAAAACAAGCCCTGTGGTTCAGCTGGCTGGGATAAGGTCTGGAATTGTGCCAGTCACCAAGCTCCGGGAGGGGATGGGATTATGAACCCCAAGCACATTACTACACACCCCCATTTTGGTGCACAGGGTGGGTGATGTGCTCCAGTTGTGCTTCCTGGACTGGAGGGGTTCCTTGTCCCTCCATTCCCAGTGCTGTGATGGAGTCTTGTGTGTGTTTCATCCCACTAATGACCAGTTAAACAACTCCAGTAAGGGCCCAGACAAATGGAGGATCTCAAACAGGCCCATTTCTGAGGGGAATAACCACATGGATCTCTCCCCATGAGGCCTTTATTTCTGTAGAGCTGCTTCCTTCCTCAACACACCGGAAGAAGGCACTAAGTGTATAAATAAATGTATTGTTCTGTACCACCCATCCACTGTGATATAGCATTGATCACTGGTGGCAGCATGGATGAGACTGGCATCTGTTCCTGGATAACGATTCTCCCTTCCCATCTCCCTGCTCCCTTTCCTTTCGCTTTAGGGATTGATCCAAGGGGCAGTTCCTCGATGCCTTGGGTGGTTTCTGATATTCCCATGCTGCAGGTGGAGTGCAGGCCCGCAATCCAACCATGGATTTACTTCTACAACGTGACGTTACAACCCTTGTCACGGAGATGGGACTGGGATGCAGAGCTGCACTTGGCTGCTCCCGCTAGCGAAGGGCTTCGAGAGGAGTTCAATGCTGTTAGCGGAACACGGGTGGCCCTGCCTTGAACCCACCTCTTTGCTTTTTGTCTCCTCTCCCCAGGGACATACCAGGGCCAGTGGGTTGGAGGGATGCGCCAGGGTTACGGCGTCCGGCAGAGCGTTCCCTACGGCATGGCCGCGGTTATCAGGTCACCCCTGAGGACGTCCATCAACTCCCTGCGCAGCGAGCACACCAACGGCACGGCGCTGCACCCCGACGCCTCGCCGGCCGTGGCCGGCAGCCCGGCCGTGTCCCGGGGGGGCTTTGTGCTCATGGCCCACAGCGACGCCGAGATCCTCAAGAGCAAGAAGAAGGGCATCTTCCGGCGGTCGCTGCTCAGCGGGCTCAAGCTCCGCAAGTCCGAGTCCAAGAGCTCCTTGGCCAGCCAGCGGAGCAAGCAGAGCTCGTTCCGGAGCGAAGCCGGGATGAGCACGGTCAGCTCCACCGCCAGCGACATCAACTCCACCATCAGCCTGGGCGAGGGCGAGGCCGAGCTCTCCGTCATCGAAGACGACATCGACGCCACCACCACCGAGATCTACGTGGGCGAGTGGAAGAACGACAAGCGGTCAGGCTTTGGGGTGAGCCAGCGCTCGGACGGGCTCAAGTACGAGGGCGAGTGGGCCAACAACAAGCGCCACGGCTACGGCTGCATGACCTTCCCTGATGGCACCAAGGAGGAGGGCAAGTACAAGCAGAACATCCTGGTCAGCGGCAAGAGGAAGAACCTCATCCCGCTGCGGGCCAGCAAGATCCGTGAGAAGGTGGATCGGGCCATGGAGGCGGCCGAGCGGGCGGCCACCATCGCCAAGCAGAAAGCGGAGATCGCGGCGTCCAGGTAAGGGGGTCTCTGTCCGTTCCCACGCGGCGTCTCAGCTGGGATCCCACCCCAGTGGCTTTGATGGGATAAGTGGGATAAGATTTTCACTGCAGTAGGTGCTCAGGGGGGTGTTTTAGGGGTGCTGCTGGAGGCAGGTCATGGTGGGCACGTGCAGGCACAGCTGTGGTCGGTGCTGTCTGGACCCCAAAGTGGGGCACGCCCAAACCTCGTGAGTGGTGTTCACAGTGGGGTGGATCCAAGTTGAATTGTCCCCCTGCTAATCTCAAGTGGGTTGCAGATGCACAGGTTTCCCAAATGAGCCAGTGAGGCCTTGCAGGGCCACCCAAGTGCAGCTGGGGCAGGGGTGGTGGCACCGTGGTGGGACTGCATGTGGGGAGCTCACAGAGCTGTCACTTAGGCAGTACTAGGTTATCCACCCTGTTTTTCCCTATCCCCCTGGAGAAGCAGGATGATACCCTTAGCAGAAGAGCTCCTGAGGTGCTGTTCGCTCACATCCTCTGTCTGACAACCAAGAGGAACCATCCCAGGGCTGGCCTGTGCTGGAGGATTCCCAGCTATCTCCATTCCCAAAAGGGCTTTTGAGTGGAAGAACAGTCACATCTCTGACTGCAGCTGATGCCTGGGGAGGGTTTGCCCTGCCTGAGACTCTGCTGCAAAACAGCAGATCTGGGTGCCCAAATAATCCTCCTTCTCCCTGTGCAGATTGTAGTCAGCGTGGAACTGCTCAGTGATCCAGACCTGGGACCTGATCCGGCTAAAAATCAGCAGGAGGGAAGGGGAAAAGGAGTCCTGTCTAATTTAGATTGAAATAGGGTCCCCAACTCAAAGCAGCGTCAGCTCAAGCACCTTCTAGCTGGCACCTGGAGCTCTGTGGCTTTGCAGCAGCTCCCAGGCTGGAGGTGAGCTGAGGAGGAAAAGCTCCTCTGGAGAATTCAGGGCTCTTTGTATCCCTTTTTGGGATGGTTTATTAGAGCATGTCATTCCTTTCTGTTTTTGAGCAAGAGCTATGTATAGCAGCCAGGCTGGGAAAAAGGGCTGGGGTTAGGGGAAAAACCCAGGTACCTCCTCAGTCTCCTGTGCTGGATTAATTGCTGGGTCTGGAATATTTGTATGCAGAGTCACACTTGAAATCCTTATCAGCCTGCCTGCTGATGGCTTATCTGCAATATGAATGAGACTCCCAGGCCTGCTATGGGAGCCTTTTTGGGCTTGACAATGTTTTCGAGCTGATGTTGTACCAAATTGTTGTCAAAGCTTTAGAATAAAACTAAAAATCCCACTAGAATGCCAGGTAGGAAAACAGAGCAGCAGAAAGACCAGATCTTTCCCTGTGATTTGTGGATGTGAATGCCTCGAAAGGCCTGAATCCTGGAAATGTGGAGCTCTAGTCTTCTGTGGGATGAATCCTGGAAATCAGGAGCTCTAATCTGCTGTGGGATGCTGAGTCTGAGGACCTGAGCATCCTCCATCTCCGGGTGGTAATGGCCCTGGAACATCATGAATGTGGGATTGGAAGATATGTGATCCCTCCCCCCGCTATGCTGGAAATGCTTAATAAACTCTTGGCATATAATATTCCACTTCTGATTATGGGAAAGAAGAAAAGAAATCAAGTCAGACAGGAATGCCTGATGCAAATAGTTCCCTCCTCTACACTGACTGGGGTGCTGTGGTCCTGAGCTGTGCTGGAGAGCAGCAGGGAGGATGGAGGATGGAGGATGGAGGATGGAGGGAGGATGCAGGCTGTGGTCACATGTGTGCATGGAGGAGGGGGAAAGCTGTGGGATTTGTGGGATTTGACCCCTTCAGTCACCGGTGAAGATGCAAAGAAATAAATACCTGGGATGCAGTGCCTTGAGTTATATTCCATCAGAGGCCAAAGCTGGTCCTGCCAGAAAATGCTCTGGGAGCAACGCGACACCTCCATGCTGCATCCCGGCTCCCTCATCCTGGCTAGCCTGCCCTTGACTGGACACGTGGAGGGAAACAAGTGCTGGGAATGCAGGGCTGGGCTCTTACCATGGCCCAGCCACTGCCTGCAGTGCACAAGGGCTGCTGGTGTGTTGAAAGGCCCTTTATTGATCCCCTGCACTGCCCAGCGCCGGCTGCACGAGCTGGGACAGAGACACTCCAACGTGACCCTGTGCATTAGCCCTGGGTTACCAACGGGCACAACACCATCCTGGGAATGTTTGCTGCCTCTGTTAATGGCCTGTGCTGAGCCCACAATATCCATCAATGAAGAGCCAAAGGATCCAGCTATAGCTGTGGACTGTGGGATTTAGGCTTTGCTGGAAACAGAGAGCAGATGGGATTAGGTGGATGCACAGGCTCAACCCCGGAAGTGTCCAAGGCCAGGCTGGACAGGGCTTGGAGTGACTTGGTCTAGTGAAAGGTGTCCCTGCCCGTGGCAGGGGGTGGAATGAGATGAGCTTTAGTGTCCCTTCCAACACAAACCATTCTATGATTTATGATTCTATGGTAAAGCAGCTCTCCCTCCTTCCACTCTGAGGTCATAGAATCACAGAATCATAAAATCAAAGTCACAGAATCAGGGAATGGTTTGGGTTGAAAAGCAACCTCAAAGCTTATCTCATTCCACCCCCTGCCGTGGGCAGGGACACCTTCCACTAGCCCAGGTTGCTCCAAGCCCCATCCAACCTGTCCTTGGACATTTCCAGGGATGGGGCAGCCACAGCTTCCCTGGGCAACCTGTACCAGGGCCTCACCACTGTCACAGGGAAGAATTCCTTCTCAATATCCCATCTAAATCTCTGCTCTTTTAACTTAAACTGCTTTGTCTGCACCCTTCAATCCTGCAGCTCGAGCTCTTCCCCTTTGCAAGGGTTTTGGCAGAGAGTCCCTGAGCCTGCAGAACCAGAAGAGAGCAAGGTTTTACACACCTAGATCCAGCTAGAAAGGCTTTCATCTATTTAGTCAGATTAACTTTAAAGCTTCCTAATGAAGGAACACTCCCCACACCAAATTGCACTGTCTGAATAGCAAGAAAGGCACAAAACAGGCAGTGGGTGCCTCGGTGGAGGAATCCTGGTGCTCGTTTTGGTGGCTTTAGGAACCATGTGTGCAACATCCCCCCTCTAACACCAACAGGAGTGACTTACTTACCAACACCTGAGGATTTTATATAGCACTGGTGTGTCTGTGCATGTGTGTGTGTGTGTGTGTGTATTCTTTTCTGTCTAATGATATGGCTGAGTTCACTCTGCAGCCTTTCCCTTGGTGGGGGAAAATATGTGCCCACCCACGTATTTCATTAAATTTGTAAGAATTCAGTATTTTTGAAAACTCTGCCACTCTGTCAGATTTGGTTGGAATTGGCCAACACGTTCAAAAGTTATTAGTGTGGGAGTGATGGCATATAGATATATAAACAGCACAATCACAGAAGTAAAGCCCCATTTCCTGAGGAAAGTAGGCTAAAAACTCAGTGTACTGGAGACAAGTAAATTGGGTTCCTAAAGTTGTTTTAGTCAGAATGGAGTACAATGGTTTCTGTGACACAGAAAAATAAGCTCACTTAAGGAATAGTTTTTAGGTTTGGGAGGTGATTCTCCTAAATTTTCTCTGATGCAATTAAAATGGGAGAACACTTTATTCCCTCTTATCATTCCCATTCACTGAAATCATTTGTGTAAAGTGAACAGGCGAGAAGAGATACGAATGAGGGCTGAGAAGCTCCTGTTGATAACAGCTGCCTCATCCCTGGACATGTTGCCCTGTCCCTGGAAGTGTCTGAGGCCAGGCTGGACATGGCTCAGAGCAACCTGGTCTAGTGGAAGGTGTCCCTGCCCATGGCAAGGGGTGGAACAAGATGAGCTTTAAGGTCCCTTCCAACACAAACCATTCTGTGATTCCATGATCAGTTTTTGGAGGTAGCCAAGGAGGGAACCCTTTTTCAACCCATTTAAAATGAAGGTGCAGGGTGTCCTGTAAGTGCTATGGGATCCTTCATTCCCTCTCATATCAGCCAAGAGCCACCACTCTTCTGCTGCCACCCTGGAAGGATGAAGGATGCACTGGATGCACTGACTCCCATCTCATTATTCTCACACTGATACTTAAGGCAGGTTGTCTGTAGGCACTGGTGTGTCATGGTCCACTACAATATAATATCCAGGCAAGAAAGGTGGACCAGAAAGCTCATCCCACCCTTGGCTTTCAGGACAGCTTCCTGCTGTAGGCAGTGGGTGCACGTGGAGTGTCAGAGGGAGCTCAGGATCACACTCCACACTGCACAGCAGATGATGGTAGTCCTAATGCAAAGCAGACAGACCCTAATTCTCTCCAGGGTCTCCTTGTGCCAGCACAGTTCAAGGTGGTGTAATTAGTGGTTGGACTGCTTATGAGAGGAAGGGCCATCAGCAGTGCTGGGGATGAGTCCCGGATGGGTGGATGTGGCCACACTCTGCTCCTCTCCAGCACAAACTGCTTGGGACCTCTTGTTCAGAACTTTAAAAAGGAGCTCCTGGGAGCAACCAGTGCCCTGGCACCCCGTGGGGGGGAGGCTGTTCTCAGGTTAGTCCTAAGTAATGCTCTTCCCGGCATAATTATAGCCAAGCCGTTCACCAACCATGGGAAAAATATAATTAAAGCTCGACAGTCTCAGGAGGAGTCGGGCTACAAATTACCACAGTGTCATTCAACTTCAGAAAGGGAAGCTGCAGAAAAATAGAAGAAGGGAGAAAATAAAGACAACCTGGCAGTGAAGGTGGCGAGTAAAGGGAAGTGTTTGGACTCAGCATGGATGCTCCTCCAGGATGCTGCAGTGAGGGAGAAGCATCCGGCTGCGTTTGACGTACGACAGGGAGAGGGAAGGCAGGAAAAGCCCCGGAGAGCTGAGCAGCAAAGTGCAGGACATTGTTTGAGCCAAACAGGTATTTTCTTCAGAAAAACTGGAAATGCAGCCCGGGCAAAACCCGCAGAAAAGAAAAGATGCTGCAGTTGTGATCCCAAACATCGTGAGTCGCGGTAATGTC